TGTATATTTCTGGCACCTGTTTTCCACAATAATTAAGCCTTTGGTTTGTTGTCAGTATTCATTGGGTCCCTGGTTTTGCTTCATGTCACCGCACCTATTTCTGTTTCACTTATTTCATTAAATTCTTAAAACTTTCCAGGTTGCTTCTGAACGCTAGCTTGCATTTTGGTCCAGAACAACCAATTATGGATGTAAGAACATCTCCCTAAAAGACTGTCCTTAATGACATACCTCCATGATCTGTATCTGTTGGGTCAACATGTTAATAATTCTTAACATAGAGTCAAAATATGTCTGAGATGGAGGTAACAGTACATTTCTAATAATGAAAAGCTGGTGCTGCTTTGTGTCTGTACTGCCAATGCGTTGCCTAGTAGAGCAGTGCAGTATGAAATAATAATGAGTTTGGGTGTAAAACTGAGTGGAGAAAGAAAATAGACCTGAATTATGCATCAAGCATGTTTTGATTTGAAGCTTGCAGCTTTAGGGTTGTTATTCTACTGGAGGGTGAACTTTCACCCCAATCTCAGGTTTTCAGGCGCCTTTATCAGGTTTGTCACTAGGATTGTTCAGTATTTAGCTCCAACAGTCTCCACTTTAATTCCAACCAGCTTTTCTTTCTCTCTAGAAGAAAATGATCCCAACAGCATGATGCTGCCTCCACCATGTTTCCCTGCAGGGGGTGATGTGTTGCTTTAGCATCCAAAATATAACGCACTATTCATGTTGGTCTAAGCATTTCCCTTTTTTTCCCTCCTTTCCAAACAAGGGGACCGTCCTCTGCTCTCTACTTGGCTCCGCTATTTTGGGACTTTCTTTCAACAACAATCTTTTTCTTGCTGCTCTTTCATAAAATGATTTGATGGAGTGTACAAGATGCCCTGTCAACAGACTCTTATTCCTGACATGTGGATGTCTGTAGCTCCTCAGACCGTAAAAGCGATCTAGAAATAAATACATTTCCTAAAACAATTGTATTTACCTTTAATTTAAGTAGGTAAATAGGATTATTGTAAGAGTGTTTTTTTACTCTTGAAATTAATGAATAATTAGATAATATGCACTTGAAATAAGACAATGCAGTTGTTTTCCTTGTTTTAAATCTAAATTCTGTTGTTCTATTGGTAAAGTGTCTCACTTCCCTCCTCAATAAAAAAAGCACTTATCTAAGAAGAAAATGACCTATTTAGATTTCAATTTTTTGCTGTATGGGTAGCGTCTCTAGTATTTTTGTGGACTTCCATGTTCCATTTGTGTCATATACTCATGTTCGTCACTATATGTTCCTAGTCACCATGACGTTGTAATCTTCTTTTAAAAAATTGTATGTCTTTAGACTGCATCCAAAATAAGATGAAATAAAAATGATGATGATTGTAGAAAAAAGCATAACATAATTGTTTTTGGAAGACAAAAGATAAAAATATAATCAGTTCATTTAAAAGTTTAGTTAAACCAAGAAAGGCTCTAATTTGAGTTCTAGACATAGAGCTTCTGGTGATGCCATTATAGAACCACCTCATTTGACTTCCTCAATATAATATATTTTTCTTTCCAAGCACTTTTCCCAATGAACTCCTTTCTGATGATTTCCTTCCCTCTCTCTTGCACCCCCTCTTTCATCCAGGAAAGCTGTAAAATCTGAAGGGCTGGCTGTTTTCACTCAAGAGTGGATTGCTCTGCTATGAATCTATAATGTAATCCTGCAACATGAAGAGTCACACATCATTCAAATGCTACAGTACATTACAATTTCCACCCTTAAGATATGATGGAAAGTTCCTGAATGGGAATCTAAGAGCTGTATGAGGTAGAGAAAAAAAAAAGCAAGAAACAGGATGCGCATGTGTGTGTGTGGATGTGTGTGTGTGACTGCTTGCAGTTCTCGAATGTTTACATATTTTTGGGGGGTTTTGCTTACAAAAGTGTTTATAGATTTGCAATTGTGCACCGGCATCTGCGCATATTTCACCATCTCTGTGTTTAAGCATTTGTATTTAAGTAAGCATGTTTTTAATATGTGTGCCTTTGATGGGTTTAGTGCATATGTGAGTGTGGTTTTATGTGTATTTGGAGTGTATGTGTGTGCATGTGTATTTGTAGAGTTTTATAGAGAGGAACTGTGTGGGGGAGGAGAATGTGGAAGTGAATTATGCCTTTTTTTTCAGAGGGGAGGGGTGCATATATGTATGTGTGTATGCGTGGGGGGGATGGGTGACTGTATGCTCACTAAGTATGTGTTGGCTAGTTGGTAGTGGGTATGTATATATATATGTGTGTGTCTGAGTTTGCTATAAAGCAGTAAATGCAGTTTATGACACCAAGCTGGGAGGTTTTAAACCTTTCAGTGGGTTTCATTTATTTTTATGCATCTCATTGAAATGCTTAAGAACAAAACCATTTGTTTTGTCCATACATATATATATAGAGAGAGATATATGTATATATTTGCATATGTGGCCACATGCAGTATCGTAAAGTGTGTAATTATCTGCTGGTATGCAGAGACTCTATGTGTTTGAACTAAGATGTTTTCTGCTATTTCTTGTGCATTCATGACCATCTGTCTTATTTCACTGTACAGTCTGTGCATACATGCACGTGGGTGGATAGCAGAGAGTGTCTTTGTTTTTATGCATTCTTAAACATATATTCTATATTTACAGATGAAGCATCTAAATATCTCCCAGCCAAAACAAAACAGATAAACTGTCTATGTGAGTAAAATTCAATAATCGGTCAGTCGGTAGTGAGTCTTATTGAAATGTTTACTGATTGTAATACATTGAAATTAGTTGAAAAATATTACAACTCATAAATCTTCCGCAACTTTAAATATGAATATTAATAGAATGAAAGCATTCAGGATAAAAATAAGAATAGTTACCTGCACCATTTGCTATAAACTTTTATTGAGCTTTTAGCCTTCTTCCCAAAATGAATGACTGTAACTGGTTTAAGTTTTAACACATAGAAATGAATTGATTCTGATATAGCTATAGCTCTAAGGTTGTGACTGCTGTTTAAATTGTTCCCTATTTTCCTGGGAACATTCATTTCTGTGGCATCTTATTATTATGTTTGGGTTTTAGAGGAAAGATCACAAGCAACGTGGTTTCTCTAAGAAACCACAATAGACGAGTGTCTAAACTACAGGTTACAGTAGATGGTGGGATTTTTGCAGATCACACCTCCTACTTACAGCTTTCAAATGCTAGATAATGAGAGCTATTGAGAGACTTTCTAAAACCAGCATCCAGATGTTCATCCACATTATGACATGTTAGAAGGTAATGGAAACGTCAGTTGCTTTTTATTCTCTGTTTAAATGCGACCTACAAATGTAGTCTCTGATACAGAAAGTCAGTTTAACATATCTTACATGATGTGCAGTAAGAGCTGCAGCTAGTAGGCTATTCTCGATAACGTCTGACAATTGAATTCTATGCATCGTGGAACATTTTAAAGGATTATCTTTGCATTTTATTTGTATACAGATGTTGGACTTTCTAAATTCCAACTTTTAAAATCAGTTGAAAATGCTTACGCTAGTCTTACACTGGTTTATTTGGTGGCCCCTATCTCCTCATCCAATTTACATGCTTTATTGGATGAGGGTTTATGGGCTGCAGTAATGAAAAAAAATATTTGCTCCTCTTGCAGCTTTTATATCTTTATTTTCAAATACACTGCTGCAAAATTATCAGCTCTTAGTCTAATTTTCCATCTTATTCACCATACCATGCAGTTATTGCAATTTACCACGGTAAATAACTCTATTCCATTTGAGCCATGACAACTGCAAACCACAACACTACCCCCAAATGAGAATCATCTGACTGCTGAAAGAGTTTATGTTGTCATTATTATAATTTTTATTATGCACACATCCATTTGACATACCTGGTTATCCTTGAAGGCTTGCTAGCCTACCTCAAGCAACCATTGGATGAGAGGTGTATTACACCCTGGAATGGCTGCTAGTCTAATGGTCATGTACACACACACACAGCAAATTACAAATTTAGAGAGGAAGCCAAAGTACCCAAATAAAACTCTGTCATGCAAACTCCATCCATCCATCCATCCATCCATCCATCCATCCATCCATCCATCCATCCATCCATCCATCCATCCATCCATCCATCCATCCATCCATCCATCCATCCATCCATCCATCCATCCAAACCAAACTCTGTTCTCCTATTACTCTTTTTGATTTTCTTTTTTTTAATGTGGCCCTGCAAGTTTTCTTTTGGTGTTGTCCTAAACAACCCACGACCCGGCTTTTGGGACTAACAAGGTTAGTCCTTATATATATATATATATATAACAGCCGATTATGATAAGTTTATAAGTTGGTTTTCTAGCATCCTGTCTAAGTCAGGTAAATGGAGTTGAATGATGAAAACTGTGAATTTAATTATTATTATTTAAGTTCTTACCTACATTATTACATTATGACCTAATTTTAATAATAAAATACTTGTGACAATTCTCTTTAATGCATTTCCTGCGATCAAAGAAATTGTATATGGAAGAGATACACATTTTGACAAAGGTAGAGAATAACTATAAATATGTATATTTGAAAATGTTTAAAGTAGACATGTACATCTATATGCACTGAGATGAGAAGCCAAAGTAGAAACTGGGAGATGTGAAATTGTTTGCGTTTATACACTCTTTCACCTCTAGGGGGAGCAGCTGCAACCATTAAACTGAAAACTCGGATGGAGGAAGACGGAAACTCAAATGTTACCAAAATAAAGCTCATTTTCCGGTAGCGGCGTGTTTTATAGATACAATATAATATAAGTTCCTGGTTCTAGTTAATGTTTTATATTTCATCCATAGTAGAAATTGCGACTTTGTCTCGTATAAACTCATATTTTTCGTCGTAAAGAAGCGCGACCTTTTATTTTTGTTATAAAGCGTACTTCCGGTTTGTTGTATGTAATATGTTTAGCTTTCTTTAGAAGCTCTTTGTATGAGTGGACCGCAGCAGCAGAGCAGCATTGACCAACAGAGTCCCAACCAGGGACAGACAGGTTTAGCGACATCCCCTGTCCCCGCCGCGCACCGCAGCAGGACCCGGACTCTGACAAAAGGAGGGAAAAAAGTGCTCTTCTTGTTCTTATTTGAAGCTCTGCTCCAACCATAGAAGCGCTTTTAACAGGGAACTTTGGTCCTCTGAGCTGCGGTCACAGGAGCATGAGAGCCCGGCGCGTGGAGAAGCACATCCAGCCTAAACTTTACAAGTCTCTGTTTCAATAAGAAGCTGAAAACTAAACAATTTTTAATGGACTAAAATCATTTTTTTTATCTAAATTTTATTAGTGACTGGTATTAAAAAGAGCAGAAAAGCAGAACAGAAGACGTGGATGTATTTGTAGTCATGGATGTAACAGTTTACCCTCCTCCTCCTCAGCCTCTGTCCGCCTCAGACCCCTCCAGGCTGGGGCAGCTCTCCTACCCTGACCCGGCTTTTGGGACCAACAAGGTTCGTCCTTATATTTTAAATATTCTTTCAAATTATCTCCTCTCTTTCTGTTATCCCTTCCTTTTCTCCTCACTCTGCTGTATTTTTGTATCTCGCCCAATTAAGTGCTAATTAATTGCTTTATTGGGGCCCCTCTTAGTTAAAGCATCTAATGAATTTAACTACATTTAGTGTGCCACTAGATCAGATAGTTTTTTAGCTAATCTTTTCCCCTTTAAAGTAATAATTTCACTTAACCACCTTCAAAGTAAGTCTATTATTTGTACACCCCAATTAAGAGTTATAATTATTATGTGGTACATTGTAATAAGCTGAAGTGAGAAGAGTTAAAGACTCTATAGTTGTTTTTTTTTAAGCTACATCTAAAAGTGGTATTTTATGCTTAAAGATGGCAGCATGTTGGTTTGTGCTCAGTGTGGGCTCTGTTTTCAGCTTCCCTCCAAAGAAAAGCCAAAGGTCAGTGTCAGACCCAAAGCATAAACCTGGACTTGGGTCACATCTATATGCATCTACTTCTATATCTGTGAGGCACATGTCATCTGATAAGCAATCATATATATGCAGGGAGATGTTTTTCAGAGTGAGTGCTTGGTGCCTGGGGAAACCATATTCATTTAGACAGCAATAAATGGCTGATCATTGAATTAGCCCTAACTGAGGGGCCGATGCAGAAGATTAATTAACCTTTTTCTTTTGTTTTAGCTGGATATAACACAACCTGCTCATTTACAGTATGTGCTTAATTTGCTCAGTTCTGAAAAGATGCTGTATATTTCTGTGAAATGGTGGCGGGCTGAATCCAAGTCAGTTCTCCCCTTCACCAACTCATACCCCCATTTCCTTCTCATTTTACCATTTTGTAAACAATCAGTTTCCCCTACATTTTAGCCTTTGCTCGTCTGATACTTTATCTTATACATTTCCCTAAACACAGAAGATAAATAGACACTAAATGCTACAATAGAATGGAATAGAAACTCAATTTATTGTCCCACAGTGGTGTTTAAAGCAGCAAAAAGATTATAGAAAAAATGATCACACAAGTGTGGACCTTAGAAAAGTGTATAAGGATAGGTTTCACATATAATTTATGTTATTTGTGTACAAAATTTGTTCTGGCTCTATTTAAGCCATTTTGGATCCTATGAAATATGACGCATTAAGACTGCATTTAAGACCAGAATTACTCTTAGCCCCCTGTTCATGCCAGATATTACATATCGAAGGCAACATATGAGTGACAGCTGACAAAAATGCTGTAAGGCTTTCGTTCCTAAAAGAGAATCAAATTACAGGAACGTGAAAAATGCACAGAATAGAAGAATATAGATTAACACTGCAAAGCAAAACTTGAAACAAATTATTCCACAATCAGAGTTTAGGCAGGACAGAACTAACTGGCGTTCATTGATTTTCAGATTTGATGTGCAAACTTTACTGAAGGCAGAGTTTCCATTAAATGTACACATTAAAACCCAAAAATTATCCATGAGATCAAGAAGTTTCCACCTAGTTTCTGATATTAAGTCCTTCAGCACCTGATTCAGCCACTGTTTGTTGGGAGATGCTCAGAGTCACTCGATTTCAGTGTAATTAGCCAAGTTTTGACGCTGTGGAACATTTCTTTCCCCAGAACTACCCAGGCTAGTTTTTGTGAACTTTTCCACTGTGTAACAGTTGGGTTACATCAGCAGACACAGGACAGGTACCTCCTCCCACCGTAGGAGTATCTACAAGGTCTTTAAAAGGCTTTGATTTGTAGCAATGAAACTATAGCCCACAATTCTTTTCCAGAGAAGACAAGAATAAACTAAATAAAATTACAACAAACTAGGTGAAAAAAATGTGATAATAACAAATGTGTGATAGGATCCCCTGGTCAGGAAACCTGGTGTTTTAACTCCAGGCTCTGTAATGCCTCATGTGCAGAGAAAGTTTAAACGGCTGTGAAAAGATTTGATCACTTCATTTCTTCTCAGTTTGCAATTAGGTTCAATTTATTAAGTCACCATGAAATGTCCACATGGGAAAAAATGTTGCAGTTGAAAAAGAGCTGCCTGCAACCTGTTTAGTGATAGATGCCTAACAATAATAACACTTTTGGTTTGTTTGCATCAGCATCAATCATTCACACTCTGTCACATACAGTTTTTTTCTATATATATATGTATAAGTTACATATCTTCATAGGCTAAATGAACATAGTAGGATGCGTGTCCCGCAGCTGGTCTGATGCACCCTGAGATCACTCTTCCATCCCTCAGTCATTCACACGCAGGTTTTCTCTCCACTCACCTTTCACCTAAGTAGTAAAATTAAACACTTTCCTTTGGTGTGATTTGTTTTTTTGTGTGCAACACCTCTTCAGCCGATGTATTCAGACATCGGTGAAACCTTGTCTCCAGTTCCTCAGCCTTTGTCTTGGTTTAGGCCTAGTCAGATTGGGATTGAGAGATTGTTCATCCAGTTACCTCAGACATCATATCTTTTCCTAACAGCTTTGGAAAATGACTTTCCTGATCTTTCCTATGTCTTTCTCTATTTAGGTAGGAATTTAAAACATGCTGCTAAAATATTTTCTCGTTTTCCGCTGATTTTTCCAATGAGTTCTCTATTTGAAAGAAGCCGTACTCTGCCAGAAAACCCACAATTTATGTGTTTTTTTTTTGTTTCAAGAAGACGGGAAGCAGAGATATAGGTGGTAGATGCTGGGGATGTGGAGAGAGAGAGCGGTGTGGTTGGGGGTAGGGACTGGAGAGAGATACGGAGGGTAGTTGGGGGTCGGGATGTTGTAGATGAGAGAGAAAGAGTGACGGAGAGAGAGAGTGTGTGTGTGTGTGTGCAGTGGGGGGTGGGGCCACCAAGGTTTGTACTATATTTCTCTCTCTCTCTCTCTCTCTCTCTCTCTCTCTCTCTCTCTCTGTCTTTTGATTCACAGCAATGTCGGCCTGATAGACGAGATCAAATTACTCCATGGCTGAACGCAGGGAGAGAAAGAAAAGAGAGAATGTAGAAAAGGAAGAAAGGCAGGAAGTGTGAGGAGAAACAAAACGAGAGGAAAAAGAAGAAAAGAAGCATTAAATTAGAGAGCTGCGGGGACAGATGTTGAATGTGAAGAGGTAAAAGCAGCGGTGGAAAAAAAAAATGAAACAAGTGAATGCACAGTTACCACTGGAAAGGCGAAATGTCATCTCAATTTATACCCATGATTAGGATTAGCGAGGAACACTTTAACTGGAAATTCTCTCCAGATACAGTTGGATTTGCAGACTATATGCAGAGATTCAGCCTCTAACCCTAAAGCAGGCTTTCCTTCCCTGTTGGAGCTGCTGCATAAGCCTTCATCCCTCTACATAATAAACATTTCACTCTGCAGCGTTTGTACTTTTAGGCTGGCTGCCAGGTCTTCAAACTCATTAAAAGACTTAAATTTATTCAGCCCAATTTTAAGACCTTAAAAAGTCTTAAATATGTCCAGATCTTACGGTGCTTATGGTGTGGGTCTTAAAAGAAATCTGGTTTGCCCATTCCTTTTGGCTCTTTTTTGGGGGGGAAGGAGGTTGCTGGTGTTATTCATTCGTTCCACATGTAGATCTGGATAATGAGTTAAGGTTTTATTTCCTGATAGCACAACTACTAAGCCTATGATGCAGTGCAACTCCTGAAACTGGCTTCTTGGTGCTTGTTTCACAAACTTTGACAAGGTTATATTTCAATTCCAATAGTTAGTAAGTGAAGTATAAGTTAGATTATTTTATTTAGTACATCCTGGTCTTTTTTAAAACAGTATAAGTCTGGAAATAGTCAAAAAAAATGAAACTCAGTGAAGCTTACATGAATCCTGTGCTTTGCATTTCTCAATTCTCTATATCTGATGCAACATTAAGCCAAAGATGCAAATGTTTCTCATTTGAGTACAATGCTAGTAAAATTAAAAGTTAAAGAGAGAAGCTGTTTGCTAGGACTACACCATCTAAAAAGGATCAAATTAAAATGAAAGCCAATAAATAGAAAAGTAAAACATTGCAGACTTTAAATGTTGAATACATCTAATCTTTCTCCTCACTTAGATTCTAATATCTGTGCTTTACTTATTGTTAGCTTTAGGCATTTGAATCTTGATGCATCCTTTTAAAGCGTTAATTAAAGGTTTAAAATGATTTCTTTGTGATGAAAGCCTAAATCGTTACTAAAGGTGCTGGTTATTTTACTTATAAGTATTTCTTTTTAACTTTATCATCTAGAAATTTGCTTCTACAAGCCCTGTAAATTCTGTGTACAAGCATGAGCAGATCAAACCCAAAAATAATACAAATAAGGGGTTGTATATAATGCTGAGAAAATAATTAATTCAAACTGAAATTTGAGCAGTTTTACAGAAATCCACATCCTTAAATCAACAAAATATTTCCCTAATAAGGGAATAAAGGAGCTCTGCTCTCTGTAGCTTCATCCGTTGATTATAATTTGTTCAGGAATATGAAATGGAAAAAGGTTCGTATTACTTAGAAATGCTTTTGTCAAAAAAAGTGAGGAATGTAGGAACTGACCTGCAGCTTGCTTCAGTGTTAGGGCCTGTGTTCCAGAACAAATCACCTGCAGGAATCAGGCGGTAAAGGTTGAACTCTGCAGCTCATTGCTGAGGTTGTCGCACCATCTGTGAAGCTGTGTGCTTCATTAAATAGCAGTTAAAAGACCTGCACTGAACACAAATATGGAGAATAATCAAATTAGAAGTACAGCTTTAGAAAGATAATCCTTAACCTAACCTACTTTTTTGCAATCTCAGTCTTTTTATTCTTATATCAATAGTAAGTAGGATACCGACATATTAGAAGTTTGTCTATATATTCTGCTTATATGTTGAGTTTGATTTTAATATTTATTTTATTGTAGAATCTCCTGCTGGTAAGAAAGGGTTGCAAAATGATTGTGAATGTATTGTTAAACAAGGTAAACACCCTTAAGATAAATCTAGTTAAATTTCCACTTGTTTTCTT